GAGCAAAAGGTGAAAAAAGTTTCAGGCAAGGGAGTGGAGATGAAGCAGCAGGATGCTTGAAAAGCCGAGGCGGCGTAGAGGGATCTCCCCCCTCTGGGCTGTCGGCAGTTCGGCGGACTGATCCTGCTCAAATCGTTTTCGGAAAACGTTTCGCAAGCATGAGTTACTTGTTCGCCTGCAGAAAACGATTGTGCGACAATGATAACCGCGTTTCGCGAGCTGTTCTGGAAATTCCCGCAGCGCGGAAGCCGCAGCTTGGGTGTTTGGGCGGGACCGCCTCAGGGATGTTTGCGCAACTGACAGTAACCTGATTGGCGGAATGAATCTTGTGACAGCACATGTATGCATGGTTTCAGCTCGATCGGACGGCTGTGCACATCCCGATGGGAACAATTTCAGCACAATGTCGCGTTGGGGTTCCTACCTGATGTTTCGAGCCCGACCATATGTCAGTTGAGTCAGCCGCCGCAACCTTGAATCGAAACTTGAAAGGTTGAGTACACTTGGACACTCCCAGCAACACACACAAATACCGTAAACGCCCGGATATATGACCCTAGGGTCTTTTTTCGTTAAATACTACAAAAAAATGGGGGTGAGTCTATTAAGGAAACATGGAATTACAATACCCGGGACCTTTCTCGTTTTATAGGGGATTCATTTATTTAAAGCGTGTATCAGACCCCGTTTCGAAATGCGTCCATGCTATCGCAGATGTTGATAGATTTTTGCCTCTACCAGAGCGAATTCCACATCGACAGCTGTGTAGCTGGATTTGGACACCCTGGAGCTCAACTCAAGGCTGCAGCCAATAGGAAATGCAGGTGGCGGCAGCATTTACACTCATGAGAGAAGATTCCACTGGAATCGACCAACTCCCATCTTCGATACCGTCAAGATGATATGCAACGCTGGCATGCAGACTTGACAGACATCGACGTCCAGGGTCTCTACTCTGCCGCATCGACGGCCGAGAGAAAAGATTCCTGGTCTTGTGGCGGGGCACAACTGAAGTGGTCCCATGCGTCTGCGTCGAGGGTGCGGGAGGAGTGCTTCCCTCCCACGACTCTCTTGCCTTGAACGTGGGGGGCTTTTGGAGGGAACGAGACTAGAGTCACGTCCAGCTCGCTCGCCATCTCTCACGGGCCTTGCTGGCTAATGCTTGCAATCTACCAAGCCGTCTTCACTCAGGCACATCGTTCTCTCGCTCACAGAGCTGTCGCTTTCTGCGACTCGTACGCCAGTATCGTCGTCTGGATTTATGGCACCCATGTCGTGGGATCCTGGTGTAAATTCGCGACTGTCGGCACCAACTTAGCTCAGCCTCCAGCGCAATGCCTCCAGTGACCAGGAGTGGGCTTGCGGCCATTATCAAGGGCCATAACCCACGCTCACAGACGCTTGACCGATGGGTTTATGCCGCACCAGCGCCTCCCGCTCCTCCCGCACCTCCGGCGCCGCCAGCGCCACCTGCCCCGCCAGCGCCGCCGGCGCCTCCCAACCTTCCTTTGGCCTTGCGTTATCGTGACCAAGACTGGCCCGATCCTTGCGCGAATTTCGACGGCGTCTTCGACGAGAGCGATGCCGAGGATGCGACGGGCGTGGGTGCTGCCGATAACTCCGTTGAAGTTGAAAACATGTCTGACGACGGCGAGCCCCAGATTCCTATCCCCTCTTACCCGACTGGACGCAGGTCACGCGAGGACTGGGAGGTTAACCACGACGCATCCCCCCCCTCGCCAAGGTCCCGCGCCTCGAAAGGTCTTCAGCGCGCGAGAACCGTGAAGGAGAAGCTGGCGTGGTTGGAATACATGGATGCTAACCAGCTCTCCACTCGTGCCACCGCTAAAAAGGCGGGTGTCCAGCCTATTTGCGTGCGCAGGTGGATCAAAGATCGCCCGCGACTCGAGAAAGCTGCGACCTGCCGTAAGCGGCTCCATGGCGGCGGGCAACGGTCGCTGTACGCAGACATGGAAATTTGGGTATTCAGGAAGCTGCTACATCATCGGACCCTCGGGCTTCCCGTGTCGGTCAACCTCATCCGTCGCTGGAGCCTGAACTACATGGCCAAGAACCACCCATCAGTCGACTAGAAGGCGTCTTCTCGATGGTCTCAGCGCATGCGTGCACGGTGGGGTCTGTCAGTAAGGGTAAAGACTAAGATTGGCCAACGCCTGGCCGACGGTGAGTTCACCACTCGAATTCGACTTCTCTCCTCGGTTTAATATTGCACGTGTTTTCCATGCTGCTACTGCATCTTTCGCTTCTGTCCTTGTGCAACGGCCTAATGCTTACTCGTCTTCCGTCCTTCCCCGTGCCTCCCATGTCTGGCAGATATCAAGCCGAAGGCCCAGAGTTTCTGGCGTTTCTGCCGCAAGCATATATTCAACAGGGCCATCCCCAACACCCTCATGATCAACGCCGACCAGACGGCGTTATTCCTGGAAATGCCAACCGAGCGCACGATCGAGCACAGGGGTATCAAAACCGTGCACGTCAGGACCGCCGGTTACGAAAAAGAGCGTGTAACCGTCATGCTGGCATGCACGGCTGCGGGCCAGAAGCTGCCCGCGTACGTCGTCTTCAAGCGCGTCCGCCCGCCTTCCATCCCAGTCCCATCGAGTAAGTCGACGCGTTTTTTGTTACCATGCGGGGTCGACATGTTCTTCATTTCATGACAACGCCATGCGTCCTAATTTTAATGTTGCTTTTCTTGTCTGCACATATGTCATCATCCGTGCGCAGCCGAGAGGTTGGATGGACGAGCATATGGTGCAGGACTGGATAACCCGAGTCCTTGCACCACATGTCGCTCCCCAGCCTGGGAGGCCTCGCCCCGCCAGCCTGGTCGTGCTCGACTCGTTTCGGGGCCACTTGACGGAGGGAGTCAAGCAGACTATGCGCCTGTTCAAGATGACTCCCGCCATCATTCCAGCTGGGTGCACCTCGGTTCTACAGCCTCTCGATGTGTGTGTGTTCAAGTCATTCAAAGCTTCCGTGCGGGCAGAGTATGAAGATTGGTTCGCCACTGTCGGCGTCAACACTTTCACCAGAGCCGGTGAGAATGCGCAAATCCATATGCTCACAGTCAAGCACCACTCATGAGATACTTACACTTGATGTGTTTTCAACAAGTACTAACGCACTCCTCTTTAATCCCCTCCCCCGCACTGTAGGGAACCTGAAGAAGCCTCCCCCCGAGGAGGTTATTCGCTGGGTGGGAAGATCTTGGGCGAAGGTGCCAGTGGCGCTTATCCAGAAAGCGTTCAAAGTCACCGGCATCTCCAACGCACTGGATGGTTCGGAGGACCATATGATCCTCCGCCATCTCAAGCAGCAGGCCCCTGACGAAGTCGACGCCAACGACGATGTCGACGCGGCGGGGGCGGATGGCGACAAAACCGCTGTCCCGCAGAACGCTGACGAGGATGAAGACGATGCTTCCGACGACGACAATGGTGGTGCAGACGTCGACGACGAGCCGTTGCCGGACCCTGCGGAGCCTGAAGACATTCTGGCATGCGACCCGTTTCAAGACTTGGCGGAAGAGCCACCAGCGTCAGTCGCTGAACCAGAACATGCTACTGACGCATTCGAGCCACTGCCTCACATGACGCTGGCACAACGCATCTGTGCCATGAAGGAAGATTATGGCGACTCTAGTGCTGAAGATACTGACGACGACCACGAGGATGAAGAGCCAGAGCCTGTAACGTGCGGCAACTACGAGTGGGCGTGGAAGATGATGTAGGCGTAGAGGGTATTCCGACAGTCTTGTGTAGCCCGCTGAATATGTAGCAGCGGTATGTGGTAGTGCAATAATCTCGTGTTTTAGGTGCTGACTGGTTCCCTAACTAAGTGTGTCATGTACCAGTAGGAAGTTGTTATTGTAGTGCACAATTTTAGGCTTGAATTCATGAAAAAAACCAAGTAGGGGGGTCCAAACCCATCTACAGCCTTTAGGGAGGGTCTTGTTAGTCGATGGCCATAATAAAAGACCTACCCGCCAAAAACACCCTATGGGTCTTCAATAAAACCGGTCTTATATCCGGGCGTTTACGGTAGTAGGATTTCAGCGTAACGGTAGTAGTGGCTAACTCAAGTGAATACGTGCAATAAAGAAGATCCATCTGTATCGAATGGGTAAGTTAAACTTCATGACTATATTTGAACCTTCATAACACCATTTGTGAATGGCAGCAAACATACCAATCACAAAATAATGTACTTCAAACTCTTTTTCTAACCATATGTCAATAAGGAGGATGTGATTCCTATCGTACTCTTGTGTGACGTGCTCCGCTCACAGTAACAACTGTCGCCATGCGCCTGAGTTTGCGAAGTAGGCAAGGGAAGCTGTCCAGCACGGAACCTGTGGCGTGGCTGTGGGTGCGAGTGGAACATATGTCCACACCGCGTCGCCCACAATCCCCGAGGAGGAATGCGGCAAGCCAGCAACATAGCCGTGTGGAAGGCTCAAAATATTTTACCGGTAAAGCACCGCGCCCTAGAGTTGCTTGCGAAAGTTTGCTTCGCTCACAGCCGTGTCGCACGCGGGAGAGCATTTAGAGAAATTCTCCATGCGGAGGGCGACCAAGGGTGTGCCGCCTGCCAGAGCCTGCCCAAAACACGAAAGTGGAGGAGATTCGGGGCTATGACAAAAGATTTACGTGCACGAAGCGCCAATAGGCAAGCCGAAGGCAGGAGCAAAATTGATCAAATTGGATTCCTTTCGCGTAACGTGGTGACTTTGGGGTGCGGCGAGTTCGCACGCATGCCGCTTCGTTTCGCGTAAGTGAATTAGTTTTTTCTCCGCGCCTGAGCCAGTCGCCCTCGCCGTCGCCCGACCAGGATCTTGCTCGTCATGCGAAATCTCTCCCGAGCAACACGCACCAAGCTGCGCCCAGTGGGGTGTGAGAGACAGCCATAGATCCCAGTTGGTCACGCGACGCCAGCTTCAGATACTCACACCAGCGCCCCCGCCTCTTTGCCTTGCCTCACACAAGCCGCAGGGCTCATGTAAGTTGTATTCAGAGGAGTATCTCGACTCTCGAGGCAAGTTCCTTATTGCCAAGACGAGCCAACCTCGCGAGGAGCAGTATTCGACAAGGAATCGAGGGACCATCTATCCGCCATCTCAAGTCCTCAACTCGGATGTTTTATCTCCATTGCAGCCATTCCATTCTGATTCATTTCGCTACAGCCGTAGAAGCTAGATTGACAAGGCAAAATAGCTGGAACAGAAACGACCCGTTGACGTCATTCCCGTGGCATCCAGCGAGCCAGCAGGTTTTATTAGCCAGCAGGGTTTATTCGCCTTCCGTGATTGCAATACTGGTAGACCAAACAGAGTGCTTATTATTAGCGTCCTTCTTCTCGGTCGCCATACCCTTCGAGTCCTTCCGAAATAGTTGTGTTTTCTAATACCCGACACCCGTGAAGCCACCTCGACACCCGTGAAGCCACCTAGTAGTAGCAGAATAATAGCCTGCACTGCCTGTAAGGGTCATTGACTCTCGCCATTCGGCTTCGTAAAAACGTCGCCAGGGTGCTGCGACGCCACTCCAAAGATCGCACAGCGACGCATAACCAATGGCCGGGTCGTCTTCGTCAACTGAGTGGATGTGGGGCGGAAGCGGTGACTTCTGCGACGAGGAGTTCACGGACGACAGCGATCGCAGCGGTCGCAGCAGTTACTATTCCGTCGACGAGGAGCGAGCGCCGTGGGGGGGGCAGGTGAGAGAGACGAGCAATCAGCCGGATCTTGGCGCAGACTGAGTGTTCCCTAAGCGAATCAGTCACAGCCATGACGGATATTACTCTGCTCAAAGACCGTTCTACTACCACCACCCAATTAGCCACCCCGTGCTTGGCCCAGTCAGAGGCCCACCCAGGCAGTTAGTAGAACGATCGATCGAGAGTCACGGATTTGGAGTTGATACGTGGGTTCCTCGTTGGACGGTGCAGAATCCTCGTTGGCGAATAGAGATCAGATCAACGACGATACTTCCGTCGGACTAATCTTCCAGGCGCCTCAAAACTAGACTCGTTGGTGAATAGAGAGCCGACCCGCCCGAGACCTTCGTCGGAATAATCTAGCCGGGTTATCCCCCGTCCCCTCTAGCGGGATAGCTCCCCACTGGGCTCTGCTTCCCCTGCCCCTTGGGGGAACGACACCGCATTACCATCGCGAGCGCGACGCTCATCTCTGCGTACCTTCCCCCCGCCTCCCCTTGCCCGTCCGCCCCCGTTCTCTGCCCCCGTTCTCTGCCCCCGTTCCCTCCGCCCGTTCTCTCCGCCCGTTCTCTCCGCCCGTTCTCCCCCGTCCGTGTTCGCGCGCAGGCGGAGACGGTACTGACCACCCACGGGCCGCTCCGCGTGACGGTGTGCGGGAACCGGTCGCTGCCGCCGCTCGTCACCTACCACGACATCGGCTTGAACCGTCAGTTTTTCTCTCCGCCACGCTCCCCACCCGCACCACGGCCACCGCCCGCACTGCGCTCACCACCCGCACCACGGCCACCGCCCGCACTACGCTTACCACCCGCACTACGCTTACCACCCGCACTACGCTCACCACCCAAACCGCCCGCACTGCCCGCATATCCCACACCACCCCCACCACTTGCACCGCCAGCACCACTCGCCGGAAGTTGCGACTAGTCCCTGTCCCTTCCCCTTCGGCTCCCGGTCTCTTTCATCTCGTTATCCATTTGTCTCCCTCCTCCCGCCTTCCCCCCTTCTCACTCCGCTCCGCCCCCTCCTATCTCCCGCCCGCCCCGAATCCCAACCCATCCTGACCCCACTCGCCAGACTCGACGTGTTTCGAGGGCCTGCTATTGTGTCCCGATACGGCGCACCTACTGCTCGGCAACTTCTGCATCTACCACATCGACGCGCCGGGGCACGAGGCGGGCGCGGAGGAGATTCCCCCGCTGGACGCGCAGCTGACGGCGAGCGACCTGGCGGAGCAGGTGGCGGAGGTGCTGGCGTGGTTCCGCCTGCCGCCTGCCGTGTGCATGGGCGTCGGCGCGGGCGCGTACGTCCTCATGCTGCTCGCGGTCAGTACTGCTGCTGCTGCTGCTGCTGCTGCTTGCGCGCGTGCTGCCGCGCCCCCTTGCCTAGTCGTCCCTCCCAACCGGGTTCCTACCATTCCCTTCCCCATCTCCCCCCATAACGCTATTCCGCGCTCTTTTCTATCTCTCGCTTTCCCCGTTCTCCCTCCCGCCACGCCCCTCCCCCCCATCCTCCCCCCCCCCCCTTCCCAGTTCATTCCTCCGCCGCCCTCCGCTGACCTGTCCTCTACACTTCCCTCCCCCGTCCCCCTCTCCCCGCCCCTCAGCTGGCCCGCCCGCACGCGGTGCAGTCGCTGGTGCTAGTCTCCCCCGTGTGTCGCGCGGCGTCGTGGGGTGAGTGGGCGCGCAGCAAGGTGCTGGTGGGCGTGCTGTGCGTGGCGGGCATGAGCAAGTACGTCAAGGACGCGCTCGTGCACCGCTACTTCTGCCACCACCAGACCGGCTTCCACGGCCCCGCCTCCGACTCCATCCTCATGTTCCGCAAGGTCAGCTCCCCCCTCTCCCCCTCCCCCCCCCGCCCCTTTCCCCCTGGCTCATGTCGCAACGTGCCCCGTGCCCCTTTTTGCAGAGGGGTGAGCGGCGCATGTTCCGCCGCACCCCGGCTGACCCACGCGGCCTTGCAACATGCCCTATGCGGCCTTGCTCATGTGGCTGAGAGCGGTTCTTGTGTCATTAGCTCTGGCCGTCTCTTACACTGCTGTGTGTTGCTCTGCTGTGGGCTGGTGTGCTGACTGGCTGACTGCAGGAGCTGGACAACCGGGAGCCAGAGAATGTCATGCGATACCTCGACACCATACACAAGTAAGCGCCTTCATCCAGCTCTAACGACCTGTCGTGTGCTCAAGTCTCACTCTCTTACAACTTTCCTTTTCCATGTAGTATGTTCTCTCTCTATTCACGCCCCTCGTCCCACATCATGCGAAGCCACAGGCAGCACCACACTCACATCCTCCTGCTCTTCCCTTCCTCACCTTACCCTCTCCCTACTTTCCCTATCTCCCATGCCTTGCAGCCGCATCGACCTCACGCCCTTCCTGCTGCATCTCAAGTGCCCCGTGCTGCTGGTAGCGGGCGAGATGTCGGAGCCATCGATGGAGGAAGCAGCGCACATGATTTGTCATCTGGACCCCATGGCCACCTCCTGGGTTCAAGTGGAGGCCTCGGGTGCGCTCGTCACACAGGAGCGGCCGCACATGCTCCGAAAGCCCCTCGAGTCGTTCTTCGCCCGCCAGGGCATGCACTGCGTGTCACCCTTTGCCGCGTCGCTCGATTACTGCGAGGCCGTGGCAGCGGCGGCGGCATCGGCAGCATCCTCTCGGTCAGCTTCAGCTGCAGCTTCAGTCGCGAGTTCAGCTGGGGGTTCAGCTACCAGCTCAGCAGTTACATCGGCAGCAGCGTCGCCGAACAACAGCCCGTCCCTTCCACAACAATCATTCGTCTCCACTTCTTCCTCCCTCATGACCTCGTGGCTCTCTGCTACCTCTGAATCCTCCGCTTCTCCCGCTGGCTCATCTTCCACATTGGCTTGCTCCAGAGACTACTTTGCTTCCACGCACCACCAACAACAATGCTCTGCTGCTGCTACTCCTTCTGCTTCCTCCCCCGACTCCTGCTCCTCCTGCTCCTACTCCCCTTGTGCTTCCTCACCTCTATCTGTTACCTCATTCGCCTCTTGGTCGAAACACAAGTTGAACTCGCAAGATTCTTTTAGACCAGAGGAGCTTTCGATGGCTGCATTGGGAGTCAAACTCAAGCCCATTCGGACACGTAAAGCTGTCCGCCCTTCCTCCGCTTCCACCGAGTCTGCAGTTAATACTGTTGCAGGCAGCAACAACACTGCATCGCCCAGTGCATCCTCTTTTGAACCTGCAGCTGTTCGGCACATAGCCCACACAGGCCTAGTTCTTTGATTATTTTGTCAGACTGTATAGAAATATCAGAGACGGCAACACAACCATTTGTTGGCAATCCACAACACAATAAGTTGTTGTAACGAATAATGATATTGCACTAATATGTAGGTGCCCATGGCCTTAATACCTTTCACAAGGTGTTCGATAGTCCAGTTTGGAGTCCACAGAGATAGGCTGTTACACAGTGGAGATGCTGATGTTTGAATGAGATTAGGAATTACTCTCATAATTGGGATAATGAGTGGAAAATAAAGGTGCTCTCTTTTGAAGGAATACAACAGCCTTTGCATAGCAAAATGGATTAGTGGCAGAACGAGTAACCACCAGGGCTTATGTTTGTTTTTTGAACAGCTCTGACGCTCAGAGCTCCATTCAATTTTCACCCTGAAAACCCAGGGTCCGAAGATATACTGCTCTGTTTTTTCAGGGCCAGCCGAAAAAATGCTTGGCGAGCGCACATTTCCACGGATTTTACTTGAGGTTGTTCCAAGCTCTGCGTCACATTGGATTCGCGTTAGTTCTAGGGGTACGAGGGGAGTACTCCTTCCCAACAAGTTGCCTGTTAGGCAGGTCCTAGAAGAGTAACGGGTGTTAGGAGTGTGCGAGATAAGGGGTGAGGGGAGGGAGGGGCGCCGGGGGAGGGAGGGTGCAAGTAGTGGAAAAATCAGGGTTACCTGAAAATCTTCTCGGAGTTTCCAGGGTCGCCTGACGATCTTCCCGGATTTTGTCAACGCTGGGTTGAAAACAACCTTGAGATAATCAGGGCTGGTCTGGAGAAAACCTTAGAATTTCAATAAAGTCAGGAAAAATGCCTTGATAACATAAGCCCTGGTCACCACCGTTGAGATGCAATTTCGAAATGCTAGTTTGTCATTCAGGAATGGCGAAAGGATTGCCCGCAGCGACTGAGGGTAGATTTGGCAGCTGCCAGGATCAGCAGGGAGACTGCCCTTCACTCGGAACGAATATGTTGGTGAATCGCATATGGTCAATACATCAATTGATCTGCAGCATGAAAGCGTTGCATAGACATTTGCCCCTGGTTCTCCTACGGTACAAGACTCATCAACCTAGAGGATTCATCGACCGACCTCACTGCTATTGAATGGCCACCACACGGTTCTGTACACATATTTGTAATGTAACATAGAAGATAATGCACGACGGCACAGAAACAACACAATGCAGGATTTTTTAGGAAGTGATGGGCAGGGCAACTGTGTCTGTTTGTGGAGGGAGCAGATTTGGACAACTGCCACATCAGGTCCCAAACGCGGAGGCCAGTGGGGTGGGGAGGGATGACAGCCAACCAACGAGGCTGGGGAGAAAGGCAGAATCTAGAAATAATATCGAACCGGCATGGCGGTTCATGCGCAATCGACGCAACCAGTGTTTGTGTTGCGGATTGCGGATTGCGGATGCGCTTTGCAGCTACAGCGGAGCTGCCCGACTGGCGCGCATCCAACTTCCATCACATCCCGCGCACTCGGCCTGCGCTGAGCTTTGCACAACGAAACAGGGTCAGCTTTTCATCTCCAGCATCCCTCACAACGAAATGATTGTGCACACGCGATGAAATAATTCCCCGAAATATCCCCTCTGTTTCGTCATATACCCCATCACTGAACGATTTGGTGTAGAGCTTTTTCCATTGAGGGAAAACTTTTCTCACAAATGATCCACCACCACACCGCACTCCATTCCATGACCACCTTTTCAGCAGTCCTCCTGCCCCGTCCCGTCCCAGCCCAACCATTGCAACCGTGCATCATGCGTGACCCCTCGCTCTCTGCCAACCATCCAATTTCTATGTTCCATCCATTCACCTGTTGCCGTGCCTCCTTCCGATTGGTTCGCCGAGAGGAAGCTGGGGCCGGCCTACTCGCGCGTGCGAATTCCCGCGATGTGCAGCCCCAACCTCCTGCTCCCGCACCATTCCTCGCCCAACCAGCCAGCCTGATCAAACGAAACCCTACCCTAGCCTGCCCTTTTGCTATCTCCCCCTCCCCTACCCCTTCACCCCACCCCCCATCATGCCCCTGCCATTTGTGGGCAACCGAACCGAAGCTCCCCTCCCCGCTATCCCTTATTCCCCCGTCCCCGCAAACATCTTCCCCCCACTCAACGCCGTGCCACCGTCTCATCACACTCCCCCCCGCACGTCACTTCCGAGAGTCCCTCCACTCTCCAGTCCCAACAAGCAAACCCTCGCCTCTCCTGTCCACCCAAACGTCACTCTACCCCAGGTCGAACAACAACGAGTCCACCTAGTTGACAAGTGAAGTAGGACCGCCTTTAATGAGAGTCGTTTGCAATTGTTTCATTTTCTTTTACTAGCCTTCTACTAGACGTAAGCGCCACTCTTCCAACTCAAATTTCGTTTAGGCAACATGTGTCGCCCTCCGGATCTCCTCCCCCAGGCCGCGAACTTTCAGCCGCAGCCCGCTGGCGCTGCCGCTGTTCGCGGCGCCGGTTATGATCTCGCTCGCGCCGCAGCTGCCCTCGCTCGGGGCGGCGCGGGACCACCCGCCACGGGCCTGCCTGTCTACTCTCGCTCGCCAGGCGCCGCAATTGGCGCCGCAACCGTCGGCGGGAGAAATGGATCTCTCCTGGCCGCCCCGCAGCTGCCGCTCAAGCGACCGCTCGCTTCGTGCGCCGGCCCGCAGCTCTCGTCTCCGTTCCAAGTGTGCGTTCCCCTCTGGCCCGTTCATCAGCCGCCCAACACCGCCGTACACCATTTATTCCTGGCACAGCGCGCAGTTGTCTTCCTGCGACGGTCACTTGGATCTTTGTACCTCCGTTGCTGCTTCCGCTGTAATGAATCTATTATGGACAGTGAGCATTGGAGCGCATTCAGGGCCCTGATCGGGGATGTGAGTCCAGCCTAGGTTGAGAGCAGAATCCTGTTTATCCGTGGGAAGATTCGACTGCCGGTGAAGTTGTGAGTGAGATGCTCAAGAGTTTTTCGTCTGAGTGGCTCCCTGAGAAGACGACTATGCGCAGCGATCTATTGCGACGGGCTTTCGGATCAAGGGCACGTCAGAGGTTCTCTCCTCGTGAGATGTCCGTCGACGGTAATAGTGACGGCGTCCGTTCTATAATCGTGTGCTTCTGAGAATCAAATCTATGTTCAGAGATCCTTCGACGGGTCTTGGTGACACGGACGCTTGGTATCGTCTTGCTTTTAGCCAGATCCAAAGCGGCTTGACTAGTAGTTCGCGTACTCCCCTGGCTTATATTCTATCGAGATTTCCGAATATTCTCCTTAACATGATCCGCCTGTTGCCGTCTTGTCCTACTTCCCCTTTCCATTCCATCTCTCCCTCTCCTCCTCCCGCCGCCTCCTCGCCCTCTTCCTCGTCTTCTCGTCTCCCGCACTATCCCGGATTTCCCTGTCGCTCTCTCGCTCTCTCTCCCGCTCCCATCCCCCCTTCGCAAGCTCTCTCCTCCTCCACTGATCATCTCTACTTCATCATGCGCTTCAGACCGTGTTTGCTCGTTTTTTTTTTCTTCTTTTCTTTTCGCTCCCCCCTTTCCTCTCCGACAGGCCCGCTAAGATCATGCGCCAGTCGGCGTGCCCGTCCGTCTCTTCCGAATTCGACAACGCCGCGTCCAACTTTATAGCGCGTATGGAGCAGTCCGTCGTAGAAGACATCAAGCGGCAGCAGCAGCAGCAGCAGCAGCAGAAGCTCCTCGAGTACCTCTCCCAGTCGCAGCAGCTGTCGGGGGGCGTCGTTCCCTTCCCCGCGCCGACTCCTCCCCCTTCCGCCGCCATGGACTCCTGGCTCCGCGCGGCCGCGGGCATTTCCGCCGGCGCATCCGCCGCCGTTAACACCCCGCTCGCCGGCGCAGTTACCGGCCTTCCCGCGGCGAGCATGCTCTCCGCGGCGTCAGTTGCGGCGACCGTGTCGGGCGTTCCTTTCCTTCCGCTCGGCGCGCAGCTCGCTCCCGCCGCCGGGTCGACCCCCGCGCTTGGCTCCGCCGCGGCCGACTTCGCCAGCAGCTTGATGGGGATGGAAGGCGAGACGGAGGAGAAGAAGACGAAGCGGTGAGCGAGTAATCCGGTCTTCAATCCTCGCAGATTATAGCTGTCGCAACGGCGGCAGGAGCATGTCCGGCTCTTCGTGCTGGTATCGTGTTGTCTTCAACCGGCCGGTGACTTAAGTATCCCTCGTCGTCCCTCGTCGTCCCTCGTCGTCCCTCTACATCATCTTGCTGTGCCTGTGTTTCTCCTCTGTTTCTCCCTATCGTGCCCTCGCAGCATCATGTCCAACCGTGCGTCGGCGAAGCGGTCCCGCCAGCGGCGCCAGGAGCGCCTGGAGGAGCTGGAGCGCGAGACGGAGGTGCTGCACGCCGACCACGCTCAGGTGCGCTCCTCGCTCCAGCTCGAGCTCGAGCTCGAGATCAAGTCGTCCACTCCGCGCCTCACAGCACGCACGCGCGCGTGTTCTGACTCTCCCGAGTCGTCTCAATCGCTTCCGTGGACGCATTTCGCTTCGCCGCCCGGTCCGGGCGACTCTATCGCTTTCTTGCGTCGGTCTGCCGACTACTGCCCTGCTGCTCTCTTCTCTCCTCGCTCACCGCCTCGTTCCTCCGTCTCCCACTCTGACTCGTTTGTAGCACTTAAAGATGCCGCTCACGTTCTCCTGTGTCTGTCCGTCCGTCGCGTGCAGGTGGTGGCGAAGCTTGGGCGCGCGACGCAGCAGATGAGCCGCCTGGAGGAGGAGAACTGCCGCCTCATGGCGGAGCTCGCCGCGCTGCGCAAGGCCGCCGCCGGTGCGGGCGTCGCGCTCAACCTCGAGGGAGCAGCCGCGACAGGAGCAGTTGCTGAGGATGGTGCTGCTGCGAAGGTGAAGGGAAGCAATGCCAGCTCCATCAGTGGCGGTGAAGGGTGGGAGAGCGCGGCTGAGTTCAAGACCGCGCCTGCTCCCAGTGTTTTTGTGGACCTCATGCCGGCTAACCAGGTTGAGACGGCGCCAGAAGAAGCCGAGATTGCTCCTGTTGCTGACCCTGCTAAGGTGGCCGCGGCGGCTGCTGCTGCTGTGGTGATGAAGGGAGAATTTGCGTTTGAGCAGAATTCGCCCGAGAGTGCTGTGACTGAGTGGAGCAACGAGCAAACTGAGCTGGAGACTCAGGCTGCTGCTGGTGTTGCTGTGGCCGGTGGGGAGGGAGAGGACTTGGCCGGGCTGCTGCTCGGCAGGATTGACTGTGGCGGGATTGGGGGCATTGGCAGCATCATGGAGGATGAGCTCTTCTCCAGCCTGCTCTCGTGCTTCGACGCCACTGCTTAGGAGGCTGTGCCCTCAAGACCTCTCGAGACGATGACAACAATGATGATGATGATGATGATGGGATATGCTTTGTCATGCACGCTCCGTGCCGTCTGCTGCTTCACTCTACTAGTGCCTGCACCGGACGTGGTCCGACCCGCCCGACCCGCTTTTTCATCGCCATGCTTTGCTGGACAGATGCAACCACCCGACCCCGACTCCGGCCTCCATGCTCCATGTTCTCCCATGACAACGACTCTATGCCCATTGCTCCAGTCTCATCGCTTTAGGCTCATCGTTCCAGGCTCATGGCTCCAGGCTCATCGCTCCAGGCCCATCACTTAGCGCTAATTGCTTCCGCCACCAGCCGTCCTTTGACTCTCCTGCACCAGCCATTCCGACCCCGATGCTCCAACATTTCTCTGCACCTCAAGTGCAGTTGCTGCTTGCCTGCTCCCACCTGCTTCTTTCCCATCATTGCTGCTCTCCTCCATTTCCGTCCCCGTTTCTTTCTTCCCCCCTTCACATTCCTCCCTGCTCATCTTCCTATCTGTCACAAGCCATCTCACTGCCACCAGCCACGCCTTGTGTCCTTCCTGGGGCGCCCTGCACCTTCTTCTCAGCCGATGCTTTCATGTCTGCACAGTGCAGAGTCTGTAGATGGCGCAAGTGCCCTTTTCAAGCACCTATGCCTCGTCGGACGACCTGAAATTGTTCTGAGTTGTGATAATGAGGGTGTGCAGCTGCTGATTTAGGACGGGCTGTACAATGGGTGGTGGTGGATTTAGTGGGTGGTGGACATTGTGGAATGACCCAGCTTTTGCGCTGCTTTCTATTTCGTTGTACATTCTTCAGCCTTTTTGGCTTGCTACCTCTAATGCTAAAACACTAAAAATGTGCATGTGAAATAGGTAATTGTGGTCTGGTTACCTGCCTCTCCCGACGCTAGTTCTCTTTCCGGCACTAACGCTGAAGTAGGACAAGCTACCCAGCGTCTCATGCCCTGCCGACGACCCTCATCACTGCCGTAAGAGGGTGGCCAAAGTAGCGCAGGTGGGACGTCACGGATGCCCAAAGCGGGTTACCACCACTGTAGACGCTACAGTTGCGATGTCCGGTATGGCCCAAGTAGGGCTCCCGAAACCCCGTAATCACGATTGACGTCAAACGATTTTTTTTTTCAACAAACGTGTGGGCAATAAAAATGTTCAAAAAGCATCGTCGGACCCAACAGCCCACCGAATACGAAACAGCGAAAACACATGGTGCTCGCGAAGGGAGTAGTCGCGAGGACGCCTGCGTCATGTGTGTATTTTGGCCACCTCTGTTCAATTATCATTTTGTAAATGTGGTAACACTTTGTCAGATAGTGTTTTCTGTTGTTGCCTTGCCCCTGCCGAAAATTTCCATGCGCATCACTGTTTGGGCAGAATTCGGCACCCTGTACATGGCCAAAGTATGGCTTAGCGCAAGGTTTGACGTCCCCCTCTGATGTCGAGCTTTGCGGGTAAGTTGACGTCAGCTAAGCTTGGCTGGCGTCAACACTCTACTTTGGCCACCTTCTTAGGGCGTGTGGCAAGTACCATCGGAGCGGAGTCTGCTCCCATCGTCCGGTCGTTAACCTCTGTACCTCAACAATTGTTTTGAAACAAACAAACTCGCACTGTACCGCGTTCTACCTGACCTCCGTTCTGGGCCCATGGTTTGGACTTTTTTCTTGCCACACACAGTAAACGTCGATTGCTGGTGCGGCGGATGTCACGTTCGAGGCACCAGACCTCACAACCTGGCTACTCCCGAACCAACGCGCTTGATCTTGAACTTGTCGAACCCGAACCCCACGAATCACGTTTGACAGAGCGCTAGTGCCAAGCGGCGGCTCCACCAGACCAGGTTCGGCTCGTCATCCAAACCAGCACCCCTAGCCCGTGGCTCGGGTACGGCCCCCATATCACGTCTTTTTGCTTTGCCTCATGAATCATGAGAGAGGAGAGCTGTGTGGGACTACCAACACACGTCATGCTCAAGGTTCCTGGATTGCTCCCCCTCGAGGTTATCGCATATCGAACTGTGTCCCCCCTCAACGTGATACACGCACCGCCACATTTCCAGCCTCGACAGGGCTCATGTCATGTTTGATTCTCCCCTTGCGGGGTGCCGTTGTGTCAATCCTGTTGATGAATCCTCCTGTTTGAACTTACTGTCGTGAGGCTCCGCTCTCCATGGTGACGCTGCTTCTCGATTTGTTGGGAGTTCTTTCCTATTGGGCTTACCAAACGACGCGCAGTTCCTCAGGTCGCATGGACTGATTGGGCCAAGCGCGAGAGCAGTTCTCATGTCAGCAACCTCTTGTGCTACAACTTCGAATTAATTCTCCATTTTTTCCAGTAGCAGGGTTTCTTCTGCTGCTCTCTTGCGATCCGAGTCGGGTCTGGCACTCGACGTAATTCTTAGAAGACTCACGAGCGGAATACGATCGCCTCGGCACGCGCTTCTGCACAGGCCTCCCAGAAGCTCGACGATCGGTAGTAGTACCGTTGTTTCTGCCAACCAACTCTTGTCCTCGCCTCTCAGTCCAGTTTCCCACGTTTCACCACCGTTACTACCACCGTTACTACCCCCGTTACTACCCCCGTTACTTCCCCTGCTACCTCCCCCGTTACTACCGCCGTTGCCGCCAGCTGCCGTTCTCACCATCATCCAGCGACGTTCTCGCTTCCTCCACCTCCACCACCACCGCAACCACCAGCCTTCCCGCCACCACCCTTGCCACCATAACTCCCAGACGTCATACCATCGCGCGCCATGGAGGCGAGTTCGATGGCGGATTTCGCGACGCTGGTGATCTTCATGTTCTCGGGCCTCGGCGCCATTCTCCTGCTCTTCTTCCTTCTCCACTTTTTCACTTTCTTCCGTCGCCTGCTCGCCTCGCGAATGTACATGAACGACCCCCATGCTCCCCAAAAGCCCATGGCCCGGCCGTTCGACTGGGTCGTTCCAGTATTGAAGGCCTCGGAAGCGGATATTATCGAGTGTGCAGGGCTGGATGCTGCAGTGTACCTGAGAATGTTTCAGTTCAGTATTCAGCTGTTTGGTGTGCTGAGCCTGCTCTGCCTGCCCGTGCTTCTACCGCTTAACGCCGTTAGCAGCCATAAGCTGTTGACCGATGGCGCTTATGTGAGCAATTCCTCCACCACCACCATTAGTACGGCGACGACTATGACTATAGGGAACACGACCACCACGACTACTACTAAGACCATTTCTACTACTACGTACAACAACAGCAAGCCTGTTAGCAGCAGCAACAGCAGCCTGAACGGCACCAGCAGCAGCAACAGCAGCAGCAGCGGCAACAGCAGCGGATCAGGAAATAGCAGCCAGGTACCCGCTCGGTTGGGTCACGTGCTCCTTGAAAGGCAGCGGGGAAGCGAGGGTAGACACAGCAGCTGGAATGGAGGGTTAGACGATAGAGGCCGTACGAGGATCGAAAGGAGCACTTTAAGGGTCAGTGCAAGCAGCGGTAATAGCAGTGGGGGCGGGAGCCGCAGCAGCAGTAACAGCACTGGCAGTGGTAGCAAAAACGGCACGCTATATGACAGTTGCAGGGGCTACTATTGGAACAGCACGGAGGGCTGCTGGAATGTGACTGAAACGTGCGGAAACACTACGCTGAGACAATACTGTATAAGCATGATCGGGCTTCCTTATGGAGTGGATGTGAACTACAGTAGCACCGGTTTCACGTACATTACAGGGTATAACTATTCGAACCTGCTGGATAATTACTCCATGAATGGTTTGCCCTTTCCCGGAGGCCCCTGGACCTGCATTCCTACTGGGAATTTCTCTACCCCTAACAGCACCACTGTTACCACCACCAGCACCACTGTCACCACCAGCACGCCCTTCAACAGCTCCACTTTAGACTTCCTCTCTATAAGCAACGTCCCGCCGGGATCCCCCATCTTCTGGGCCCATCTGGTGATGCTGTACGCGGTGTCCATAACGACGTTCTTAATCACCTGGTGGACGTACCGCCACGTGTGGGGGCTCAGGCACGACTACCTGGCGTCTAGAGCCAAGGTGTTACATCCGGAGGAGTATGTGGTGCTGGTTACCGACGTGCCGCAGCCGCCGAAGCTGAGGCAGGAGTCTAGCGTCGGCCTGTTTGCACCCAAAGAAGGAGTTGTGTGAGTGCGAGCAGGGTATCGGGGTCTGGGTTGGGTGGGGGAAGGGTGGTTGGAATGCTTGCAGCTAGGAGTATTTCTTCACATAAGCTCCCTGCGTTACTGGATGATGCCTTTCAGCGTTGGAATCCCGCAGTTTGAACACCACCAAATGAAACCCTCCCTGTCATCCTCCTTCCCATGCCGCACCGTCTCCTGTGTTCCCCTGTTCCCCTGTTCCCGTGCCCGTGCGTTTCGGTTTTCCCATGTTCCTGTGTTCCTGTATTCGTGTGCTCTCTTTCCCCCGCCCCCTCTCCCGCAGCCCGACAGTGAAGCTAAGCAAGCCGGCAGTGCGGCGGCTCTTCACGCTCCTACGCATCTGCACCATGGGCGTGGTGCAGCCGCCCCAGCGCGCCGACTGCACGGCGGCGTCCGCCGTGGCGGACTCACAGTTCGTGGACCACTACTTCTCGCGGCTGTACCCCGAGGCGTACATCAACAACCAGGGCGTGGCGAGCTACGGCAAGGTCATGCGCGCGTACCGCCGGTGGTGCCACGCCGTGCAGATGCTGGACCGCACGCGGTTCCGGTTCCAGCAGAGCTTGGAGCGCAACAGGCAGCGGAAGAACCCACGTTTGGAGGAGGAGCTCGTGCCCATGCGACGCCAGGGACTGCTGCGCCAGGTGCGCTCTCTCTCTCTCAAGCGGTCCGTTTATTGCTTGGAAAACTGGGTACAGGCTAGGCAAGGCAGGCAAGGGGCAGCAGGGCAAGGTACGTGCATGTTTGGGGGCTCGAAACTACACGAGCTCCCCTAGGGGCTCTGCTATGGCAAAGCAGTCCCCGGGTGCCATGTCGGCGTCAGGGGTACCCACTGGGGTGTGGGGGGCAGGGGAGGCTTCATTAACTTTCCCCAGGTAAGCCAGGGCCTGTGCCCGCTGCAGCGTCACTGACCAGCGTTGGCGAAACTGGTGGAGCAATTTTGCGGCCTGGTAGGAGCTGGGGTCCGCATTGAAAAGTCTCCTGGCCCCTGTGTCAGCCAGTAGCTTCAAGAAGGTAGGGACCTCGGCGCATGGGCAGCCGTATGTCTCGACTGCAAGTGGGAAAAATCCGACATACGGAGCCCGATTCCGGTAATGGGAGATTTTCTTGTCAGCTTGCTCCCGGGCCATGTATCCGCGTCCTTTTCTTGCATCCGGGTCCCGGCTGCTGATGGGATCTGTGACAGTGACGTCACATATCCAGACGGCTCCGGAACTGCGGTCTCGGAGGGCGAGGTCGGCCTTGTGGCCGTCTACGGGGCTGTAGATGGTGGTCTCCTTGGTGACTATAAAGTCAGCGTCCCGGGCCATCCGTATGCTCTCGTCCCGCAGGGCATTATGGGTGTCGGTCCGACCGTGCCCGGTGCCACACCGGAGCAGGTGGTTGGGCAGCCTAGTGTCGAGGATTTCAAATTCCTCGGCGCAGTTGCAAGTGCGGGGGGCTGGGAATGGAAGGCCGAGGCGGAAGGCCAGGGCAATGGCGAAGTGTGGAGCTTCGAGGCGGAGGGATGGGAAGATGGGGATGGCATGAAGCCAGTCCCCTGCTCCATATCCAGCCAGGGAAAAGAGGCGTTGGGTGTGCCCAGAGAGTGGGTTTGGGTCCATTGTCCGCGTGGCTGCCACCTGGCCGGCGTATCGCACGGCCTGGACTTCGAGGGATAAGCGGTGTTGGAGTGGGGAGCCGGAGGGTTCCCTCCTCTCGGAGTGCAGGAGCTCCCGGGCTCGTGGGGGCATCGCCGTTTCACACTTCGCCAGCCAGGTATGCAAGTGGGTGGGGCTGGTGAAAGGTGGCGTGAGGTGCCGGACAGCGTCAGCCAGGGGCCCTCCTGACGCTGCTGGGAGGGCAGCCAAGAGGCCCTGGGCTTGGGTGAGGCTGGTGAGGTAGGCTGGGTGTCCCTCAATTGCGGGGTCGGTTAGACCCAGTCCTCCAAGGGAGGGAGGGAGGGACGCTTGAGCCCAAGTGCGCGCCTGCTCCACCTCCCCTCGAGGCGGTTGGAGGTTGCAGGCACGCAGGAGGGTATGGAAGAGCTCCCTACCCCAGTCGGACCAGACTTCCAAGGGTAGGAAGTCAAGGGGGGTGGTGCGGGTTAAGTATGAGACACGCCGGGACACGCAGCGTGTGAGGAGGAGGGATGAGGACTGAGGGTCCATTGTGGCCAGTGTGGCGAGGGGTTCGGCTAGCAGGGCTAGCTGGGTGCGGAGGAATGCGGCTGTGCCCTCGGTTGTGCCTATAAAGCTGCCAAGCACGCGGACGCCTTCAGTGTTGAAAGGTATGTCTGGGGGAAGGCGGTCGGGTGCAGGGCGCTCGGCTGACCATGCTGCGCATTTCGCGGGGTTGTGGGAGAGACCGATGCGGTCCATGGCGGCTGTGAAGGTGAGGAATGCCGAGGTGCAGGCGTCCGGGTTGCCGACGAAAGTGACGTCGTCAGCGTATGCGAGGCAAAGGACCTCGGGGTGGGCCGCGGCGGTTGCCTGGAGGGCTGGGTGGATGGCTGCTGCGAAGAGGAGGGGGCCCATGGGATCCCCTTGGCGAACTCCCCGTGCGCTGAGTAGGGGCGGGCTATCAAACTCAGCGTCGAGATAGAGCAGAGACGGCGCGCCATACGAGAATTGGATAAATGGAAGGAGCGGGCGGAGGGGCGAGGTGTTGATTGCGTGGATGATTGCCCCACGGTCAACGCTATTAAAGGCGTTCGAGAGGTCGACTTGTAGGATGAGTGAGCCCGGGCGCGCAGAGGTGAAACCCCTGGTGGCGTGGATGATTGTCTCCCCGCCGCTCCTGATGGCTACCCCGTATTGGTGTGGTAGGAAGTAGTCTTGCGCGGATTGCGTAGAGGAGATTAGCGCGGCTTTTGCCGCCAGTCGATGGAGACACTCCCCTATTGCGATGGGGCGGGTACCCCCATCTGGCTTGGTAAGGGCCAGGAGGCGTGAGGAGGTAACGAGCTGGCTGACCTCGTGCGGCAGGTTACCCGCCAGTAACCGCTGGACGAGCTTGTGGAGGTTTGTGGCGACGGCGGGGTTGGACAGCGAGGCGTCGCGAAGGTGCTCGAAGGTCATCCCCGAGGGGCCTGCCCCAACTCCATTTTCGGAGCGGGCGAGGAGCTTCGCGAACGTAGCGAAATCGACTGTCGGCGGCCTGCAGTTTTCGTCAAGCCGTGGCCAGGTGAGGCTTTCGACAAGCGGAGGGGGGTGTTTGGACTTCAGCGCGTCCAGGACCGTGGGGGTGGACTTGCTGACTGGGGTCGAAGTCAACGCGAGCAGTGCCCGTCGCAAACTGCCTCGTCGTACCAAGCCCTCGGCGCGGGATATTTTCCCGAGAGTGTCAGGTACGTGGCGGGGAGGGGGTGGCAGGGTGACAGCCGAGGCAGCAGCTTGGTACAGTGTGTCCCACTGGCCCGCGAGAAATTGTCGAAGTCGTCGTTCCGTCGCGGGCCAGTCAGGGCGTCGAGGCGAGGGTAGGCGAAGTGTGAGGCGCGGGAGGTAAAGTAACAGGGTCCAACCCTCGATGGAGGTTGGATGTTTGGCGAGGAAAAGGAGGGGTGTCAGGAGGGTGAGCGCGAAAAGTTGACGGATTTGGGGGGGTAACCGGCGGGAGAGAGGGGGTTGGCGACTGTCGCAGAGAACTGCGACGTCCCACGTGGCGATGACGGCGAATCTGGAGGGGTCATTCGCCAGTTCTTCCGGGGACAACTGCTGGGCTGCCTGGGGGTGGGTGTCCAGCGGTGCCCGAGTATTGTGCAAACGGCTGGACCCTCGTCCCCTAGATCTTGGAGATGGGTCAGTCTCTCGTCCTCCAGCGCGCCTGTTTGCTTCGACGTGTTCCGCCTCACTGGAGGTCTCAGTCGTGGGGTCTCCCTGGTTCCCTGGTATATAGGTTCCGTCCGCCCGTTCCTCCTCATCAGTCGTTCGTTGCAGTTCCGAGGCACTTAAAGCCCTGTTCGCCGCCTGCTGGAATCCGTTCAGTGGTCCTCCATCGGAGGACAGATTGCCACGCCTTGCCGCCCCGCGACCGCGCCCTCCGGCCGTCCGTGCGTTGAGTCTTCCGCGTCCGCCTCCGTGGTTTCCTCTCGGGGCGGCCCTGGTCGTCGTTCGGCTTTCGTGCCGAGTCGTGGGGGGTGCCGAGTGCGGCGCGCCTCCCCGGGATGGAGCGACCAGCGCGGGAGCGTTCTGCCGATTTGGAGAGTACCGGGGACAGCAAGTCGCCCCAAGGTCGGGCGAGTCCTCCAGCGCCGTCGAGCCGGGATTGGGAGCGCGGGCTCCTCGGCCCCTCGACGGCTCGCCGACAGACTCCCGAGCGGATGCGGGGGCAGTCGCGGGGCAGGACTGCCGCGCCCCCGAGACACGAGGAGAAATCCCCCGAGCGCGCCGTGGAGATTGGACGTGAACCAGTGGCGCGTGGCGAGGTGCAGCAGTCACCACGCCAGCAGCATCCCGCCCGCCGAGGAACGCCTCAGCGCCGCCCACAGGCGGGGCCTGGGCAGCAGCGCCGGACTCCGCAGGCGCCGCGCGGGCGATCGGGCCAGCGCGTCGGCTGGAGGGCTGGCGGGGGGAGTAACCGTGGGTCCGCGGCGGAGAGGCGCCTAGGGCGGGCCGCGGCGACTCTCGAGGGCTTGTTCCGCAGTGTCGCCCAACCCCAGCAGGCTCTGGCGTATTCTCCGCAGCTTCTGGCGCCCCAGCAATACCAGCAAGCGCACTTGCCGCCCGTGCGTTTGCCCCTTCCTCAGGCACCGACGCCGCCATTCCCTCCCCGCAGTGTGACATCTCTCCCGCTCCTTGACAGCCAGCACCTCTTGGCGTCCCTTCCCTCCGCACCCCCTCCGCCAGTCCTCCCCTCGGCCGGTCCCTTCGATCCGCGTCGGATGGACGTGCGGTCCGCGGAGATACTGCCGCCCTGGCAGCCGACGCCCCCGGATGTGTCGGTGGCAGGATGGTCCCGTGGCCCACCGCCGTTGGTGGCACCGGCATCGTTCGGCGAGCGGGCGACAGCGCCCTTTGTCCCCCCCCGCCGTTCGCTGGCGTCACCGACTGGAGTTGAGGGGGGGGCAGAAGCAGCGGAGATGGGGGGAGCGGAGTCCACGGGAGAGGACTCGCCTCCTGGGGACCAGGGGCGTCGTCGCTCGGGTGGGCTGCGGATGCCGCAGAGGGCGCAGCTGGAGCGCCTGCGGGGGAGGGAGCGGCTGGCGGAGACTGCGATCCCAATCGCCACGCTTCGTCGGCTCTGGCACGCGCAGAGGGCGATGGGGTATGCTGTGGAGATGCTGACGGACTCACACTCCGTTCTACGGAGCTCAGTGAGCCCGTGCAAGATGCCTCACGATCCGCTCCAGCGCTGCGCGATGGCTGCAGCTGATCTGGCTGTCGTGTCCACGCGAGTGCAGCCTGTGCCCGCCTCGGGAACCGTGTTGGACCCGCGCCTGCTCGCCGTGATGCGGACAGTATCGGCGAGCGTAGACTCGGCTGCAGCTGTAGACATCGTTGGCGGTGCCGTGTCAGCGCTGATGCTCCTGGGGGACTATGTGAGGGCCCTGCTTGAGGAGGCTGGAGCGGACGAAGCCGTATGATGGGCTGCCGTCGTGTGTAGGTTCTGGTTGGTGAAGTGCGCTCTAGCGTGAGCGCTCTGGTAAGCTCTGTGAGGCTCTCCA